AGGCAGGGGGAGGGAGGAGGGGGAGGGAGGAGAGGGAGGGAGGAAGGAGAGGGAGGGAGGAGAGGGAGAGGTTTCTCACCTGAGCCGGTGAACTGTCCCTCCAGCGCGTCGTACTGCTGCGTCGGGATCGGCGACGGGTTACGGGAAGACTTCTGCGACGCCGGTTCTGCCAAAAAAACAAGAGGCTAGTCAACGACGATCGCCACGGAAACTCGCGGACGTCTAGCTAGGTGTGGAGGCGTTAACAATTAGTGAACGTATACGCAAGTTAACAAACTTACATACCACGAAACAAAAGTGCATGAATTACAATCTACTATTAGTACAGATATAGATGTATTAGTATTTACCATTACTACAGATATAGATAGGTAGGTATCAGTAGGCAGCGTTAGCGCATGTATATCAGTATTAGTGCGTATTATTACTAGAGTGCTTGTATTAATGTATTAGTACGTACCGGAGAGGGAGGGTGGAGTGAGAGTGGCGTACGGGTCAAGCCCATGCGTGTACTGCTGGCCATGGAAGGGAACCGGCAACTCTTCCGGCCGCACCACTGATGGGAAACACGAACAACAACCATGCACGAGTTACAAACAGCTCAGCCTAACATCCAGGAGGAATGGGTGGGAGGGAGGGGCACCGGAGGAGGGTGGGTNCCTCCATACATCTGCTGCTGCTGCTGCTGCTGCTGCTGCTGCTGCTGCTGCTGCTGCTGCTGTTGCTGCTGCTGCTGCATTTGTTGTTGCGTAGGGGGCGCCACCGGCGGCTGTGCACCTGCGATGCAATAGAAACAATGAGCGTGATGGGAGTTGTAGAACGTGTGCGCATGCATAGACTTTGCTTCATAAAGCTGTAACCAAAGTCAGGCCTATTGTTTAAACAGGTTCTCTTACCTTAGGAACTACCCGTGTAAACAGACAGGCAGGCAGACAGGCAGGCGGGCAGGCTGGCAGCAGGCAGGTAGGCAGGCAGGCAAGCAGGCACCCAGACAGGCAGACACACAGGTAGGGAATGAGGGCGGAGAGGATGGAGGGGGAGGGAGATGAGGGAGGATGGGGAGGAGAAGGGAGAGGAGAGGGAGGGAGGAGAGGAAGGGAGGAGAGGGAGGGAGGAGAG